GTAAAACAACGGAGGGAAAAGCCAGTGCAGAATCAGCCCTGGTTCTAGAAGCCTCACTAAATTGAATGGGAGTTGTAGGAAAGAACTGCTCCTCCTCTGTATTCAGTTCAATGGAATTTACACAGAGAAAGCTCTGAGATTCTGAATATCAACGCTTCTGGTTCCTAGCTCCCTATATAATACATTTCCTCCTCCATAGAGCCAAACTCTATGCTGAAATCATAAAAAGGATCAGGTTTGACCTCAGCAGAACTACTGTGGTACCAGCTTTCTTTTACCGAGGCTGTTATGCAGGATAAACGGGATGGGAAGTTTCCATCGGAGATTCTCGCTTCTTAATGCACTACGACTTCTCTGTTGAAAATGGGAAAAGACTGAGATTAGAGGAGAAGATGAGAAGGAGAGATTAGATTTATACCCTGCCTTTCACTACCCAAAGGAGTCTCAGAGCGGCTTGCAAACTCCTTTCCCTTCCCCTCCCCACAACAGACACCCTGTGAGGTAGGTGGGGCTGAGAGAGCTCTTGACAGAAACGGCTCTTTTTCAAGGACAGCTCTTATCAGAGCTACGGCTTGCCCAAGGTCATCCAGCCAGGTGCAAGTGGAGGAGTGGGGAATCAAACCCGGTTCTCCCAGATTAGAGTCCGCGCACTTAACCACTACAGCAAACTGTCTCACAAACTTAGAGCATTTATCCTCTGCAACGCAAACAAGGTTTTTGTTAATGATGAGTAAAATGCATGAGGTTTGCAAAAGACTCACGGGCAGTAAAATATCTCCTTCAAAGAGGTTCAGCCCAGCAACTGGAAAGAAGGCAATTGAGAAGGAAATGGTTTATATCAAAATGCAAAATATATATATGAGTTTTCAGGTCATTAAATTTGTTTTTTTTTCCCCACTCTTGGAAGGTTTTCACAAATTATTTCACAAAATAATTTGACAGCACGCATCTTGCCTTTTAAAAAAATTAGAAAACTGAAAGGTACAATAAATAATAATGGCCTGTTATTAACAGAGAGAATGGTTGTTTGTAAATAGTGTGGATATGTTCACAACTACAGAGGGAATTATAGTGCAAGATATCCATGCTGTCCATCTGATCTCGCCTCTTACATTCAGTGGGGTTCTCAAACCCTGAATAATCCAGATGGGTAATTTGCATAAAGCCATCCAAAATCAGATTCATGTTTGAGGAAGGTTGTGATTTTGCAAGGTGCAATTTCCTGACCCACTGATAAATGGGGCACCCAAAGAGCAAATCCAGATCTTGGTCTCGACACAAGTATTATTCACACGCATTGCATGTACAAGACTATAAAGCTGATGGTCTGTGGCCAAAGACCATTACTGTCTGACACCTATAACATAATTACAAACATCAGCATTGAAGCAATCTAACCAAACAGTACCAATCAAATAAAAGCATCGCCCTCTTTAGATGCAGCTCCGGCCTGTGTTTTCTTGGCTGCTAAAGTAAAGAGTGACTCCCTGTAGGAGACAAATGGATCCGCATCTGAGAGAAAAAGAAGAGGAGGAGGAGGAGGAGGAGGAGGAGACTGGATTTATACCCCGCCCTTCACTACCCAAGGGAGTCTCAGAGCGGCCTACAAACTCCTCTCCCTTCCCTTCCCCACAACATACACCCTGTGAGGTAGGCGGGGCTGAGAGAGCTCTTGACAGAAACTGCTCTTTTTCAAGAACAGCTCTTATCAGAACTACGGCTTCTCTGAGTCAGAAGAAAAAAAATAAGCCCATTAAAAGCATGGTGAGAAATTTGGTTCTGGGCTCTACAGAGAAAGGACTGGATAAGATGTGGTGCAATGGGTCTTCTGGAACTGAAACTCCACAGATGCAAATACACGAAACCAGCGGTATTTGGGAGTAACGTCCAGCTAGCAAGCCCAGCCATTGGCAATGCGTTGAAACCAAACTGAAGTAAAGGCTATTCTGAGGTTATGGAGGAAGAGATGAACCAGGCAGGAGGCTCTAACATGGCCCCTTTTAATCCGTTTGAACCAGTGTTCCCTCTAAGCTGAGTCAGTGTGAGCTGGCTCAAATTTTTTTAGCCTCCGGCTCACACATTTTTTTGTCTTAGCTCAAGAAGGGACGGCTTCAGAGCAAACTAATTTATGCCATAGCCAAATCGCTCGCTCACAACTTTAATGCCAGCAGCTCACTAAGTAGAATCTTTGCTCACAAGACTCCACAGCTTAGAGAGCGCATTGGTTTGAACCGTGGGGAGAAACTGAACTGGGAAACGGAATGCCTGACCTGTTGTATTGCATGTATGCAGATCAGAAGAGAATCCTCCTTGTGGTGTTTACTAATTTAGAAGACGTAGACCTTGACAGTTTACTTTGAACACATTCAAGGTGCTTTACCAAAAGTGACAATGAAAACAAGATCAAGAACAGCTCTTATCAGAACTACGGCTTCTCTGAGTCAGAAGAAAAAAATAAGCCCATTAAAAGCGCGGTGAGAAATTTGGTTCTGGGCTCTACAGAGAAAGGACTGGATAAGATGTGGTGCAATGGGTCTTCTGGAACTGAAACTCCACAGATGCAAATACACGAAACCAGCGGTATTTGGGAGTAACATCCAGGTAGCAAGCACAGACATTGGCAATGCGTCAAAACCAAACTGAAGTAAAGGCTATTCTGAGGTTATGGAGGAAGACATGAACCAGGCAGGAGGCTCTGAACAGGGTCCCTTTTAATCCGTTTGAACCAGTGTTCCTTCTAAGCTGAATCAGTGTGAACCAGCTCACAGTTTTTTAGCCTCCGGCTCACACATTTTTTTGTCTTCGCTCAGGAAGGGATGGTTTCAGAGCAAACTAATTTATGCCATAGCCAAATCGCTCGCTCACAACTTTAATGCCAGCAGCTCACAAAGTAGAATCTTTGCTCATAAGACACCACAGCTTAGAGGGAGCATTGGTTTGAACCCTGGGGAGAAACTGAACTGGGAAACTGAATGCCTGCCTGTTGCATTGCATGTATGCAGATGAGAAGAGAATCCTCCTTGTGGTGTCTATTCATTTAGAAGATGTCGACCTTGACAGTTTACTTTGAACACATTCAAGGTGCTTTATCAAAAGTGACAATGAAAACAAGGCAATGTGTTTAAAAATGCCAACAACATAAAAAACCAAAAACTGTAGCAACCAGAAATAGAAGATACTGCTCAGTAGTAACAACCCCCCTCCCATAAAAAAATTTAGGTCCCACCAACACTTAAACTTAGCACAACAGCAGCCATCCATGCTAGATCCAACCAAGGGTCCATCTGCTCCAGCGTCCGGTTTCCTTTCCGGCAGCATCCAATCAGATTCCACAGGGAGCCCACAAGCCAAGCCCACGGGCAATAGCCTCCCCCTATTGACTGTTCCCCAACCTCTGACAATCAGAAGGAATACCACCTCTTGAACCAGAGGTGACTTAATACCTAAAGGGGTCTAAAACCCAATGGACTGTCTTTGGTCGCTAGTACCAGTGTTCCCTCTAAGCTTTTTAGCCTCCAGCTCACATATTTTTGTCTCCGCTCAGGAAGGGATGGCTCCAGAGCAAACTAATTGATGCAGCAGCCCAATCGCTCGTTCACAACTTTCATGCCAGTAGCTCACCAAGTAGAATTTTTGCTCACAGGACTCCACAGCTTAGAGGGAACATTGGCTCACCTATGAAAGCCAGGGTACAAAGCGTGGGGGTTCTTCAGGGAAGGATTAGTTGGCCAGCTGGACCACATGTTGAACTCTGTCAAGAATATCGCTACTGATGTTTGAGCAAATTTACTCTTTTTTTTTCTTTTTTGCCCCTCGACAGCCTTTATCACATGACGCAAAAATTAAAAAATACAGGTTTTGGAGCCCCTTCTAAACAGCGAAGGCATTGTAATGCAGTCAGTTTCCACCCTGGAATCTTGGAATCTTGGAAGGAGCACCCCCACCCCCACC